TTATTCACAGCTTATTTTCAAATAATTTTTACGACGCAATTTATGATGGAAATTAAAATATCTAAGCCTAGCTTTTGCTCTTTTACTTTTATCGAAATAAAACACTGGTAGTGAAATATGGTAGTCCAATGCTTATTTAATTAAGAAGATAATTTAGTTTGTAGAATTGAGTTAGTAATTAGTTTGTAGTTTAGTTAGTCAGCTAGTAGTTTAGTTAGTCATTGCTATGCTAGGAAACAATGTTATTAACCCGAACTACAACCAAACATTAATATATCTCATAAAAGCGAAAATTCATACGGCGAATATTTCACCTGCTCTTACATAAAAGCGATTCAATATAGAAAAATATTCTCGATGGAGCGTGATTGTATGATTAAAAACGAATTTGCTTTTTTAAACATGTGTTAGAGACTTAGAAATCTAATTGTTTGTTAAAAAGCCGTTCATTAACTGATAATATATTTGAAGTGTAATTTATTGTTACTGTAGTTGTTTAAAATATCAAGATGTTGTAATTCCTGCGATTCCTTATTCTAGATGGCCTTAAAAAAATTTTAGTGCCTTACTAATGTAGCTCTCTTTCGATTCGGACTTTTTTTTTTCAATCTTGATGGCTAAGGAAAGGTAACCTCAAATATGATAATTAGAGCAGGCAATATTTTAAATTACAAAATCAGGCAAACGAACGTACTTTCTCTGAATAAACATACCTTTGTTTCCGACGGATTCGGATTTCTGACTCTCAAAATATAAGGGGTGGCTGCAATCTGGGAAATATGGTTCCTATAGTTTTGTCAGGAAAGCGGTCTAAAGTTTCGACTTCTTAATGCTAATTTTAATTATTGCGTATTTCCCCATTTCTCGAGAACATTTTAAGCGAATTGAAAAACTTCTGCTCACAATCATAAAATTTGTTTCTCCAAGGATACTCCCTTACAAAAAGTAACTTTTAGCAAATAATTAATTTTTATTATTTTATTCAATAATAATTGAAAAATTTTTGAATTGCAAGGAATAAAAAATTTTACATCATTTTTAAGAGTGTAACTTTGTATTGCAAGATAAAATTTTTGAACGAAATTGGTCGAATAGTTTTTTAAGAATTGAATTTTAAATAAAAAAAATTTTTTTTGTCGAATTCGATTTATCAGGAATTATTTGACGGATTTCACTCAAATTTCTTATTTTCTGATTTTAATTTGCATTCTTTAAAATGTTGTTAAAAATTCCTTACGATTTAAATTTTTTCGACTATTATTAATAAAATAATTAAAAATAATAAATATTTAATAAAAGTTATAGCATGCTTGAAGTTGTTTTCAGATAAATAAATTTTACAATTGTGTGTAAAATTATTTTCAATTCGCTTTTAAAGTTCTCGAGATAGAGTGAATTAAATTTACATTAATGGGTTCAAACTTTCGACCTCCTGAACAAACTATTGGGACCGTATTTCCCAGATTACGGCTACCCCTTATATTTTAAGGGTCAAAAATCCAAATCTATCGAAAAAAATATGCCTATTCAGAGAAAATACGTTTTTGGATCAAGTATTGGATAACTCCTGGATCAAGTATTGGAAGAAATTTGCCTTCTTGGAGGACTTTCTAATGGAACTAACCCGCATTTGCGTTACATGGAGAGGATGACCACGAGAACCTCCCGCGGCTAACCTGACGGCAAGGGGACTCTATCCCATGACCTGTCTACCACTGAGGATATTTCACATCACTGTGGCTGGTGCAAGCCGGATGCAGAATTCGTATCGACCAGCCATCGCCGGGATCGAACCCGGTTTACCTCATTGGAAAGCGAGCGCTCTATCCCCTAATGAAGTTTATGATAGTATAATAAAGTTTATAAATCTTATACCATAATAATAATAATTGAAGTTTATACCATTATGACAATAGCAAAAAGGAAAAGAAAAAAAGGTTAATTTTAATTTCCGCGTCATTGTGAATATTATTTATTTTTTACGGAAAGTATTAAAAGTGTTAACCGCACACCCTCTATAAAGTAACCTTCAATTGTTAAATATGGGTAAGTAGGTTTCTCAGACGATCCACTATCCTATATTTCCGCCCCCCTTCATATCTGAGTCAAGGTTATATAACGTGGGAAACACTTTCTCCAACATTATATATTTTTTTATGTATTTCAATCTTATGTAGAAAAAAAGAAAAGTGAAAGGGGCATTTTTTTTTCTTGCACTGTACTGGAACGTGTGAAACAAGTTTTTTTTTCTCTCCCCCTAACTTTTTGCAGTTACTATTTCTTGCTATTTTCGAGGGGGGGGGAGTAGCTAAAGTTGGGGACTCTGGTATGATCCAGGAAGCAAAGAGGGTACACATTTCATAAAAAAGGGGGGGTTGCTATTTTTAGAAGCATAGACGTAGCGATAATCGGAACTTTTTTTCTACTTCTCTATACCACCTTCCCTTTCTGCTTTCTTAAAGAATATTTCTTTTATTTTCTTAAGGGGCCTGAATTTTCCCCTTAACCTAGTCTGTTGCCCTAATTTTAACTCAATTCCGTGTTTACGTTTTCTCTTTTGTAATGAAAGGGTTTCCTCGGTGAGAATGTCGCGCTGTAGCTATCCTTTTATTTCAACAATGCCGGTCAAAACTATTTCCTTTAAGCAACATTGCAGACCTAATAAACTAAAATTCTTTTTGTCGTGCTATTTTATATTATATTTTATAACAGTCGTTAAACAGCCGATTCAATTTAGTGTTTACGACTACCAATGTTCAACTCCGTAGCCTTGTAATTTTGAACCCAATCCAGACGACAAGGTAACTCCTGGATCAAGTACTGGGAGAAATTTGCCTCCGTGGAATACTTTTTTTATTTAACTTAACCGGATTTGCGTTGCATGGAGAGGAAAAACACGAAAATACGCCCCGATTAGCAAGGCGGCAAGGAGATTCTAACTTATGATCCGTCAACCACTGAAGATATTTTACGTCAGCATTGTGGTCGGTACGAGCCGGTTGCGTAATTCGTATCAACCAGATATTGCTGGGATTCGAACCCGGTTCACCTCATTAGGAGGTGAGCGCTCTATCCCCTAAGCCACCACAGCTCTTTTTATCGTATTTCCCAATTCAAAATTCTTGATGGTTTATTTTGGTTTCAGTGTGATTCATGATGATCTTACATCATTTGATGGTCACCATCATCCAACATTTTGTAATCTGTGCTCATGGTTTTTGATATGCCAATAAACTTCCATCATTCCATAATGGAAAATGTTACTTTAATACTATGATGGTTAACCATCAAGAGAAGTTTGATTCTCCTGAGCCAACAATTCTTGATGGTTCATGATGGTTCGAACTAGACGTTTCCATAATGGTTTAATTGGAATTCGTGTTGTTTCTCAGGAATATACCATCAAAGCAATTTGGCTTTTATTTAACTTTAATGAGGCTTAATATTAATTTAAAATTTCAGAAATAAAGATGTTATTTCGAATTTAAAATTGTTCAAATTATTATATTATTTCAAACTAATCACTGAGTAAATAATTTTTTTTTTTTATTCAAGTAAATAATTTTTTTTTTTATTCAACAATCTCAAATTTGTGAAGACAAATTATTTAAATTAAAAAGAAAAAATATATAATTAAAAAGTCTTAATAAACATAAAACTAAACGGGTACAGTTAACACTGTGTATAATTAGTGGGTAAACTGTGTTTAATAAACAGTTACTATATTTATGTATAATTAGTGGGTAAAATGTGTTTATTAAGCAGTTACTATATTTATGTATAATTAGTGGGTAAAATGTGTTTAATAAACAGAAAACTACTTGGCATACGGCTCATGAAAAGTTATAAGCTTTACAGTTTCGTGTTAATTTATTTATAAATGTAGTCTATTATTTACTTCTATATTTTGATTATCATATAATAGTTTATTTCATTATTTCGCCGGGTAAAAAAAATTAAATATCAATGATATAAGATCAGACTTTTAAAAAAGAATGACTGCCAAGAGAATGTATTTATAAATTATACTGTATAAAAAGTATTTTTGACTTAAATCTAAGATTTGAGGAAAAAATCGAGTGCTTTAGATCAAAGAATTTTATTTTTTAAACATCCATCAGGTCAGCTGATTTTCAGGTCAGCTGTGCTTAAAGATATATAAGGTTTCACAATAAATGTAACAACCTTTTCTTAAAAAGACATTATATATATTTCTGCATATTATATTCGCCTAACAAAAATCAATTCCGACTCCTCTGACACTATGCATTTATTTAATACAATAGCAAAAGGTTAATGCAATACAAGTAATGACCCGAAAAATTTTTTTACACTATCGGTCAAGAAGCTTCAGTTCACGCAATCTATACATAAGTGAACTGTAGTTATTACAAAACAACATTTTATTCTTAGCTATTGTTATTAAAAGTAACATTTATTTATATGTTTTACATCTTCAGAAAACGTTTCTTCATAGGTTTCCGATTAGCAAATGATATTTATATTTAATTCGGTTCTATTAAACAACGATGCACTAAATATTCACTTTTCGAAAGAATTTTCTATTCGATATATCTCTTGTACAAGTAAATTGTTCGTTTTTTTTATAGATTCATAAATCTATTTTATTTAATAATAGACAACAAAAAAATGTCCTCCGTGTGAAGTTAAACTATACTTTAGTTTGTCAAATTAATGAATTTGCATTCTTCAACATGCTTTGTTTTTTTAGAAAGAATTATTTCCCCAAAATTCTCCAATATTGTTTTAATGAGTGATTTTCCTTTTCTTCTTTTTTTTTTCCTACTCTATCTCTCATTTTACACTAAATGACTATTGTAAAAGATTTCGTCTATACTTTTTAATAAACAACAGTAAATAATTGAAACAAATAATCAAAATAAAAATGAATGTATTTATTTAAAGTGTTCTTAATATATTTGTTAAAGTATATATTTAAATGTATTAGCTTTTAAAAAATATCCTTATTTCTTTTTTAGACAATGAAGAATTATGAAAAACCATGGAGGAAAAGCTGTTCTTGAAAAGATGATCTAGAAAAAATTGTGGAAAAAATAATAAGACTAAACTGTTTAAACTGACTAAACTTAGCAAACTTTATTTAAAAACAGGAAAAATAAATTGTTTCTTTGATTCGTAAAGTTTTTTTTTCTCGTTAATTCATTAATACTATAACTGCTGCATCAAACATTGAACTAAAGCTAAATGAATAAAATTATTCCAATTCTATCATCTCAGGAATTTGAATTATGGGTTTTTATTATTGTTGTTTGCGTGTTTTTGCTTAACTAAGGCAACTGAAATTCAAAAAATAATTAAAAAAACGGTGAAATATATTTTAAATATTATTTTATAAAATCTTATGAAACTACATTAATTTTAATAATTGTTCCGTACTCTGAAGTTCATATTACAGCTACGATCCTTATTTGCCCTTTGTTCACGAAGCAAAAGTAATTTTAAAGATTATTCAGTACTACATTGTATTTAAATTTCTGAAAATTAAAGTTGTTTTATATTTTCTTATACTACTCCTGCTATACCTTCCCCTCCATTTTGTCTTAGGCTATAAGTGAAGCCTATACGAATAATATTACAATTTTTATTATAAATGGTCAATACTTGGTAGTAATAAGACTTAACGGCAGTATCAATTAATACTGATTTAATGAAAGTTTTTAAAGATCTATCAGTACTACAAAGTTTATTTTTATGGTACAACTACATTACTGAAAATAAAATCGGTAGTTTTACACTTCCTTATGCTATTACTTAATTCACGCCACCTTGTTTCTAGTGTTACAGGCGTTATGTGACGCTTTAAGAGAAGTTGTAAAATATTTTATTTTAAACAATCTGCATGTTTCGATTTTGGATATTGCGTACGGATTCAGCAAGGTTTAATGTTATACGTTATTTTTTGAAACTATCGCCTTCAATTATACTAATTGTCCAAAAAAAATTTTTGCAGACTACCTGCAGAAGACGAGGAAAAAAAAAAAAAAAATTATTATTTTTTTTTTCTAAAGGAAAAACGGAAAGTTGTTCAGGTGTCCTTTCTAAAACGTCCTCCCCTCTTTTTTGCCCCTCTTCCCCAAAAGTTAGAGAAAGTGCATAGAATGGGGGGAAGAGTGGGGAGGCAGCGGGGCGAAGGGTTTTCCCGAATCTTTTTAAGTTACGTCATTTTGTAAGTTTCTTTGGGAATATGGTGGTTAGGGTTTGAACAAGTCCCGTTAGCCCAAGTCCCATCCCTGTAACAGGTACGCATTTTACTAAGTTTTATTTATGACTATTAAATTTGAATTCTCACTTTACCATCAAACTTGTAATATTATAATGCCAAGATTTTGTTGACTTATTATTTGTATACGCTATACTAGTTATATTTATTGCTTATATTATTATGTTCTTTATGTATTTATTTCATATGGGAGGAAAATATATAAAGTTATTATTTTTCTTATGTACTAAAATAAATATTTGCAAAATAAATGAGGAGAAATGTGTTAAAATATGTAAGGAGTATTAATAAAATATCTAGGAAATTTTGTCAATGAATTTTTTTAATAATCAATACATTATATTCTTATTTTTAATTGATAATATAGACTCGTTGTTGGCGTATGCCATTTTTAAAATTTTACTTTCAAGAAAAATCATAATAAAATTCATGGGATTTTAAATTTGAAAGAAAAAAATAATATTTTTTTAGATGATAGTTCTTTTTAATTATTATTCTCTGGCCAATTAACAATTATATTTCAATATCTTATTATGTGAACTTTTAATAATAATATTTTAATAATTTTTTAGTTTTTTTTATTGGATGTTCAATTTGTAATTTAATTTTAATCTTTTACTTGCTTAAGTGTCAAGTATTGTTCATGTGTTATGGATCAGTTAAAATTCACAGCTCGAGAGAGTTCTTTTTACCTATACGACATTGAGTTTTGCGTAAATTCTTTTTAAAATTTTACTAATAATATGTTTAAGATCCAAACTAAATTTATATAAAATTCAAAATGTTAGATTATGAATCTTTTATACGTTACATTTGATACTGATGTAATTATTGTGATTTATTCAATTAAAATGATTTATAGTAATAATAACCTTGTACGAATGAGACACTTTTTTCAAAACCAATTGCGTAAATTTTGCAAATATTTCTGGAGTAATCTAGAAAAGAAATTATCACCATTGCTAACGAAAGTCTAAGATTATTTTAATGTTTTTACCTTTCATGATCAAAAATATTTTTAATAAAAGAGGAAACGTATTTTGAATCAAATTTAAAAATCAAACATTTGTTTTTGTTTTTATTAATTTTTGTACAAAAAAAAAAAAAACTCGAACAGCTCTTTTTTTTAAAAAAAAAAAATAGTAATAATAATAACTATTTAATACGAAAGTTTGTTTTTAATAGAAAGAAATTTGAATTTCGTTTTAAGTTGTTTCTTTATGTTTAATAATTTTTTTTCAAAGAAAATCTAAACTTCTAAATTTAGTAGAAATTTGACAACATAAAAACGAAATCAACTGTTTTTTTGCTTTAATATAAATAAGATATTAAAAACATATTGAAAAGAAATTAAAATCTGAAAAAAAAGTTAACGATTAAGTTTTAAAATCAACTATTTTAAACTATTTTATTTTCGATAATAAATTTGTTAAAAATATTTCAAAAGTAGAATTTGTTTTTTAAGACAATGCATAATTTTTGTGACCTTTGCATGGATGATTCGAATAAAATTGAAATATTTAATGTGTCATGGGATTTTAATCTGGTGATATAATATTTTTATACTTTGTAATGAAAATACTTAAGAAATTCATAATGATGAACTAGTATATTAGAACTTGTAATGTGTAACGTATCATAATTTACATTTTTTTTAAGGGACTCTCAACATTGAATTTGATTGTGGGCGCATTCTGTTTAAAAACAAAAATGAGTGATTTATAATGGACGTTTTTATTTAGACCGTTTAATTTGTATGGTTTTTTGGGTAGTATTAAAATCGCTTTTACGACACGTAATTTGATTCTAGAATTATCTGCTTATAGTTTTAACCAATCGTTTCCCAAAAATTACCTTCTAAGTATTTTAAAAAGATGTCGCCATTTTTTAAAAAATTAGACCACAAACGCTTTTATTTTTGAGAAAGTGGGGATTTCCTCAATATTGCATTTTTTCGTCCATTCTTATTATCAGGGTGCTGGATGAAAATAAACTTCAGAGGAATAATTATCCGGAGTTTTAAAAAATTAAACTATCGATATTTAAAAATGTTTATTTCATATTTATTATTTCACAACCATATGGCTATTTTTCGAACGCTCCGTTGTCCTATGAAATGATGCTTTTTTGCCAAAAATATGTTATTTTCCTAACTGCTGTGAGTTTGTTGCTGTATAATATCATCCTTTTGAAAAGCATATTTTAGAAGGCTTCTTCTTTATCATTATTATTTTAGTTGCATTTTCTTCACGTAATGTGAATCTTTTCATACCTTTGGCTTACATTCCATGTGAAAGTCAAATTCTTTATCTCACCAATGTTGCTATTCTTCAGATTTGATTAAAAGTTAATATAGCTGTGACATCATTCGCCGGACAAGAAGATAAAAGAAAATGAAGACTTCGTGAATTTACAAGAAAAGAAAGAAAGATGATTGAAGAAAGAAGGCATTTTGTGATTTGGCTACAACAGTGAAGATATTGAAATATCCTCCAGGCACTTTTCATGAAGAATGGATATCTCGGAATTCGGTAAGATATTTTTGTATTATATTTTTGTGCAATATTTTATACTTAAACCACAAACGCTGGATACTTCTTTAAACAAAAAGAGAGCAGTAAGACACTTATAATTTCTCCAAGAGGTCGTGGGTTCGATCCCTGCCGGGCGAAGACTCCCCGTGCAGTAAGCGGTGACTGATGCACATTGAATCTGTAGAGTCACAAATCCTCCATGTTCCTATTACAAATTATGTCTCTGGGGGTACTGATCCCTGAATTTCCTTGTCTTCTGGATTGGTTCAAAAATACAAGGTTACGGAGTTGAACATAGGTAGTCGTAAACCCAAAATTGTGTCGGCTGTTCAACGACGGTTATAAAAAATAAAGAAAAAAAATGAACAATATAGGATAACTTTTAATATAATCAAACACCAAGAATGTTTGAGAACAGTGAGCCGAAAAAAAAAAGGATATTTTGAAAAACTTTTGATCTATTGATCGGATCTTCACATTCTAGGACTCCATCTTAATGGTTCAAGGGGGTCACCTCAAATGTGCTAATTAATTAGTGCAGACGATATTTTAAGTTACGAAATCAGACACAAAAACGTGCTTTCTCTGAACAAACATATCTTTTTTTTTTAATAATTTTTTTGGTGATGTTTACACTGATGTTTTTGTTACTAGATAGTAGTTATCAACGTTGGATTTCAGTAAAATAAGAACTTACGCTTAAATTTTGGAATCAATGAATTTGCGTATGAGAGGTTACAAAATTCCTAATTTCAGTCTTTAATGCGTATCTAAAAATATAAATCGATGGTAAATTTCAGCACCGAAAATCAACTTATTTCTAAACAATTATCGTTGCCATCACATAGCTTACAATTTTTTTGTTTCCACAGTCGAAAATAATTCCCTAACGATTATTTAAGTGCTCGTGAACATTAAGTTTGATCCCAGTTTGGTGCTAACAAAGATATTTTTTAATTATTTATGAATGCTTGAATCGACAGTAGCTGAAAATTAAAAAAAATTTTATTTAATGCAATTTTAAGGCTTTTTAGTACCAAATTTAAAAACAGCATAACTACCGCTGTTTTTGCAGCTTATTTTTAACTTTGTCTTGAAATTGAGCTTTCCTTACTTGAATTATTGATTTTTTTTATTTAATTTTATTTAAATATATTTAATTTAATTTATTTTATTTAAATTTAATCAAATAATTTACTGATTAATTTATATTCAACCAAATCCATTCAAAAATTTGTTATTAAATTTAATAATATGTGCACTCTTGAATTATCCACTTGTAAGAATTAAATATTAAATGTTTTTATTACCAAATTTGAAGAAGAAAAAGAAGAAATTTCTGATGATTAAGGCTTGTTTTATCTAT